TTAATGCTTTGTTACCTTTATGTAACTTTATTTTAAGACTAAGTGTTCTTTCTGGCTTTTGACTCCTTACCTGACTCCAAACGAGAGCTGCACAAGAATTCCTATATGCCTAGGCTGTCTGTTTATGCATATATGGAAAATAAAAATCTTGACATGACTTGACGTGCAATAGGTAATAGAAACAGAAGAACATCTGTTACATCGGTCCTACTGAGCACACAGTTGTTTCTGAAATGTGCGTAGTTTGTATTTTGTGTGTCACCATGGGTTGGATACACACCGCATATACTATACAGCCATTTCAGGTGTGGGTGTGGGGAATTGCCAAGGTGATAAATAATGGTTGAACAGTGCTGAATTTGGAGAAACTTCTGTTAGAGATTGTGAACATGCTGGGAGTTATCTTTGTTATTATCCAAATCTAATGAATGTTAAGAACAGGTCAAGCCAGTTTTTGTCATCTGAGAGTTCTCATGTGTTCAGTTGCACTGATGCATAATTGCAGTTTAGCAAGACCTTAGGTTTTAGTGACCGTACAAAAAGAGATCTTTTAGGTGGTTTTATATTCTCTGTTTAGCTTTACAAGTATTAATTAGTATTACCGGTGTTATGTTTGTGTTATGTGCTCCTCTCTGCTGTAGAAACCATGAAAAACATGTATTATTGCATAAACAGCTTCAAAATAGTACTTATTTTCTTGGTTGAACACTCAACGACACATTACAGCCACACAGTCAGAAATGGTATGTGTCTAAACTACTACTCTATTTACTTCTACATTTACTGTAGTGTTAGTGAAGAGTGTAGTGTCTACTACAATAAGGATCCATTCAAGTCAATGCATTTGAAATAAACTGAATTAAAATCCAGACTTACCATGTAAAAACAGAACTCCTCTGCAATTTTAAAATCCAGAGCATGTTTTCGAGGACAGGTCCCTTGTATTTCCTTCTTTTAAGTTACCTGATAATATCTTTACTGTGTGCAGTGAAGTAAAGTATTTGGGTCATGTCATTAATGATTGTCTGATGACGGGGATATATATCGGCAGTGCCGCATGTTATATGTACAAGCTAATATACTGGCACGGAAATTTGGTGCATGCTCCGTGGGAGTAAAACCGGCTTTGTTTAAAGCGTATTGCACTTCCTTGTAAATTGCTCATCTATGGTGTAATAATAAAAAGGGCGGTCTTCGGAAACTGTCAGGAGCTTACAATGACGCCCTAAGGATATTATTGAAAAAGCCTAGATGGACGAGTGCAAGTGATTTGATCGTGTCATCTCGAGTTAGTACATTTTCCGCTGTTTTAAGAAACCGGATGTTAAAATTTATTTGTCGCTTGAATGGTTAAAAAAAAATCATATTTTATAGTTGACTAATGTTGCACACAGTGACATGCGTTTTACTTCGGTTTTCTGGAAACACTGGTATACCTGTCTTTTAAAGGGGCAGTAGTTTTATGGGTGTTCTTGTGCTCTCGTTTTTATGTATTTTGTTTCGTTTTTAAACTGTTCTTTAATTGCTTTGATTTATTTTAAACCTGGACCTTGAGTCTGTAATAAAGTGTCATCATCAAAACCGACTGCTTTGTCATCTACAACAGGCTTTGGATAGAAAGTATCGGTAACACTTTACAATAACGGCCCAATTCATAGGCTTAAGTAATGCTTAATTCATGATCAGTTAATGGGTAACTGATCATGAATTAATCACGAATTCCTATATATCACTATGAATTCAATTTGGTATTAACTACTTAATTCACTCTAACTTCATCAGTAGTTAAGAAACCCTAATTCATGGTTACTTCATACATTAATTAATACACCACCCTTTGAGCGTGATTTTAGAAATGCTTGTTCCGGGGCCATGGCACCCTTTGAGCGTGATTTTAGAAATGCTTGTACCGGGGCCATGGTTTTGATCAGCTTCTTTTATGACTGAAGTA